GTAGTTATATATATATATATATATATATATATATATATATATATAGTGTCAGCCGATCTGAAGGTCACGACTTTATTTCGTATTTGAATTTTCATTTTTTTCTATAAATCCAAGGCACTAAAAAATTTAAAGTTATATTTTTCTCATCAAGGCGTACCTAATAAAAATATAAAAAATAATAATTCGTAAAATATAAATTAACCAAAATACCCCCCAAATATTTCGGGGGTATTTTGATCAATTTATAGTTTTCGAATTATTTTTTTAATACTTTTTTAGATTCTACTATTTTTTAAAAATAGACGCTCAAAATTTCAAGTGATTTGTATTTGTATAAAAAAAATGAAAAATTCAAATATGAAATGAGATCGTAACCATTAGATTGAACCTAGATTCAATCTGGATCATTATCTGCCACTGTAGATGTCAGCCCACGGGCTGACAGGAATGTTTTCATATATATAGATATATATATATATTAAGTTTTAAAAAAGATGACAAAAAAAGACGATGAAATCATAATCCAATTTGCGATTTTATGGATTCATTTACCTTGCCATAATACAATACATAAATTTAATTATTTTTTCTCGAACCGTATAAGAAGAAAAGTTACTATGGAGGGATGTTAGACCCCCAAAGAGACATTAAGAGCTGTTCTAGGTTTTTTTGTTCCGATAAAAATCAAACTTATTTAAACACTATTGTTATTTTATATTTCCTCGAGAAAGAGAGCTTAATCAAATGAAATTCATAAAAGAAGGATAGATATCTATTGTTATTTTATATTTCCTCGAGAAAGAGCTGAATCAAATGAAATTCATACGAGAAAGAGCTTAATCTAATGAAATTCATAAAAGAATGATATATATGTTGCTTTGTTCAATTGTTTTTCCTCCATTATCTCTAGACGTACCTATTCAGACTAAAAGAAGACATTTTGTTCAATTGTTTTTCCTCCCTTCTCTTTAGACGTACCTATTCAGACTAAAAGAAGCCATGATGTAATATGCACGGCTTAAAAGATATGAATTATTTTTTCTTTTCTTTAACATCTGCTAAGGAAGTTTATACTCAGATTCTATTTTATTTTTATGCGTCAGGCGAGGATGGGGCGATGCATCCACCTTCCACTTTACCATTCAAAAGTGGAGATTGCACCCAAAAATCAAGATTCGAGCGCCAACTCTACAATGCATATATATATATATATATATAGATGTCAACGCACCAAACGCCTTTCCTAGAAGTTCAAGTGAAAAATAATTACACAAACATCATCAATAAATTGCTTGCGTACGAGTTACCAAGTGACGCTGCTGCCTTGAAAAGTCACCAAGGTTTTATAGATGGGGTTGATCATAGAGAAATTCCGAGTCAAAGAATTACAGTCTTTCGCTTCCAAATACCAGTCCACAAATACTTTATGCTCCCAACCCTTAAAAACAAAAACAGCTAATAAACCACCAAAGGAAGGCAACCAAAAAAAAAAAAAAAGAACCACCATAATTCATACAAACACTTATAACAACCAGTAGAAATAATAGTAGAATTCGGCATCTTATTGGCCGTCAGCTCGGAACATAAAGGGTCGAATCGATGGATGAAGATCTCATGTTTCAATTATGCGGTGGTTGTAGCGGCTGGCTTCTCCCACTTGAGTGGCTTTACAACCTCCCAAGTGAAGTCAGGGTCATCCCGACCAAAGTGACCGTAGGCTGCAGTCTTAAGGAACCTCCCATTACCTCCTCTCTTGAGGTCGAGGTCGATAGCAATCATTCCAGGCCTGAAGTCGAAGTTCTCCTTCACAATCTTCAATATATCCTTATCAGGGATCAGGCCAGTTCCATAGGTGTCCACAAAAACGGAGAGTGGCTCGGGGACACCAATGGCGTATGAGACCTGCACAATGCACCTACGAGCCAAACCTGAAGCCACAACACTCTTGGCAGCCTGGCGAACAATGTAGGCCCCGCTCCTATCAACCTTGGTGGGGTCCTTGCCTGAGAAGGCACCCCCTCCATGGGCACCCCAACCACCATAGGTGTCAATAATGATCTTGCGGCCGGTGAGCCCAGCATCCCCGTGCGGACCCCCGATCACAAAGCGGCCAGACGGGTTGAGGTGGAAGATGGTCTTCTCGTCAAGGTACTTGGCAGGAACCACAGGCTTGATCACATGCTCCTTGAGGTCAGCTGCAATCTCATCATTGGTCACAGTCTCATCGTGTTGGGTCGAGATCAGCACAGTGTGAACACGAACAGGTACCATGGCTCCGCCATCATTGAAGTATTCAACAGTCACTTGGGTCTTGCCATCAGGGCGCAGCCATGGGCAGGTCCCGTTCTTTCGTACCTCGGTGAGCCGAGCGCCCAGCTTGGTGGCTAGCACATGGCTCAGTGGCATGAGCTCCGGGGTCTCGTCAGTTGCATATCCAAACATGTGGCCCTGGTCGCCGGCACCAATCTCCTCAGGCCTCTTGGTAAGGTGGCCGTGGACACCCTGGGCAATATCAGGGCTCTGTTGCTCGATGTTGACAAGGACCTTGCAGTGATCAGCGTCAAGGCCGACATCATCAGAGACAAAGCCAATGGTGCGGCAGGTGTCGCGGACGATTTTCTCATAGTCAATATTGCCCTTTGTGGTGATTTCACCAAAGACCATGACCATGTTGGTCTTGGTGCAGGTCTCGCAGGCGACCTTGGAATCAGGGTCCTGCTCAAGGCAGGCATCGAGGACAGCATCAGAGATTTGGTCGCAGAGTTTGTCAGGGTGCCCCTCGTTCACAGATTCGGATGTAAAGAGGAAAGTCTCCATTTTCTCTCTCCTTTAACTCTGCAATAATAGCAATGGACACGTAAATCAAATGGTCTCAAGAAACATCAAGGTGCCAGTTCAAGAATAACTTTGAGAGCAATGACAGTGAGCACATAAATCAGATAGCACCGATAATATCAGTTCAGGATTAATCTTTTAGAGAGAGAGAGACAGAGAGAAAGAGAGAGAGCGAAGAAGCAACCACTCGACTTAAAATGTTGAACATAACAGAGAGCTTTATAAATGAATTGTCGCACAAAAAGCACGCCTTCATTTTTAAAGGGTCGAATCAAAATGGTGGTGGTGCCTTTGGTATATATCAGTTGAGACTCAGCTTCTGATACTGGAATAAAGGGGCTGTAAAGCAAACTAAATATGACCTATTAACTCATCCAAGGGGCAGAGTGGGCCTTAGAGGAACATCTGGTTCCTTAGAACACTAGCTCTCATTTAAGGGAATATTATTCCCAGAAGAATAATCCCCAAGAACCTTGAATAAAAAGAAAAACTATAAAGAATTATCCCAAAGGAAATCAACATTTAGGTAGAAGGTGGTATGGAATCATAGGTAGATGCGAGCGATCATGTGAACTATCAATCAGTGTACAATATATGCAATCTTTGATACACATGCAAAAGATATGACTGAAGCTATCAATTATCTATATACCTACAGAAAAAGTATGTATGATAATTTCTTTTCTTATAAAAAGCAACTATCATATCAAGAAGCTAGTCGGAATATCAATATAGTAGGACATAGAACGAGACAGAAACAGCTTGAACTTTAGTTGGTTCAATGGATATGATTTCTGAGCCCCCTCATGCTACTTCGACATCGGATTCTGCAACTTTCCTTGGACACTCTGTGCGAATTTATGGGACCCCAAATATCTTCTGGAGTAAAAAAAACTATCTTGATCTCGAATTCTAGACCATAAATTCTAACTAAAAACCTTGTGGTGGTCCCAAGTTTCTGAGGGCCGTTGCCCTTCAAAAAAAAAAACCCAATGGGCACAAAAACAAAGGGCATCTAAACTATTGCTGCTGTAAAAACCAGTCCCTCTACTATAGCATCCCCACATGTTATCCAACCTTATTTCTGAACAGAGTTATCATTCATCTGACCCAAATATACCCAAATATACAAAAGTTGGATGGATTGCTATGAGGAAATTTGATGGACGATGTCCTATTTCAATCAAGAAGTAATTGAAGCCCTAGTTCACTGAAAGTTGTTTTTGGGTTAATATACCATGATAAACAAAATCAAGATGCATCTCCTGCATCAGAAGCTCCATATTTGAAACTCGGAAAAAAAGCTGGAGAAGCTCCATATCAGGGTACTGGGAGGAACAAGACCACTGGCTCTCTGTTTCTAAAAGAAAAGACCAGCACTACCTCTCCATAACTTACAATCACATCCTAATCCTCCGAAACCATTGTTTGGGAAACCTCAATATTAAGTAGTCATCAATTCATCGTTTTCCTTTAGGATCTCCATTGTTTTGTGTTCTCTGATTTTTTCACGCTAATTTCTTCCTTTTTTATATTGTTATTTAAGTTCAAAGGAGCTCTCAAATATTTATTCACCGCAATAAATTTTATTATTACAATTTCGTCCAGTACTCCATTACTTGCAGAGTGGTAAAGGCAAAATGTTGACTCAGTAAACATGAATCATGCAACCAAAGACTTCAACATCAGTTTGAAGGAATTGGTCAAAAGTCAAACGAGGAAAAAAAGAGGCATGCTTTTCGCTCTCAATCGAAAGAAATTAACACAAATCTTAGTCTAAAAGTGTATGTACAACAAAAAAAATCATTTTAATAGTTTCATTAAATCTCAGTCTAAAAACTGTAACTAGATCAGAAACCATTCCATTTTTCATCTCACTGGAACCATGCAAATATTAAGGCAAAACAAAAATCTGGTGTACCATTTGTATCTGAAAAGTTCAAGCTAATCTTATGAGACAACCTAGATATAAAGACCAGTAATTTTAAAAGAAAGGAATAAAAATGAAAGGTAATTTCAAAAGAAATAAGAGAAATGGTTATCTTAGTTTTTCACCACACAATTAGAGGCCAGATCTCAAGTTCATAAATAAAATGTAATAATGGCCTAGATTAGATGAATACGAGGCTCCATAAGCTAAGGTGTAGGTCTTCCAGCACTAGCCATAACAAGCAAATATTTAACGAGTGGAGTTGCAGTCACTTGATAAACCCAAAGAGTGAAAGCAAAAACAAATCCCAGAGAAAACCCTTCTATTAAACAACCCACGAGCTCTCTATTGAGCTCAAGGAGTTGAATCAAAACACTTCCAGATCAACTAGTGAACAAAACATAGAAAACATGGGATCTTCCACATATTTAAATCCAGCTCTAAAATCTCCTAGGTGACACTCCAGAATAAAAAATCAACACAAAGAAAGCATTTAAATCCCTAAAAAACCACAGATCGAGCAGGACTATCAGAAGAGAGACTGCAATTAAGCAATAAAAAAAGTAAACACGTGATCTAGCAGTCTGCAGAACACTAAATTGGCACAAAGAAATAAAAACCAAAATACCATTTCAAAAATGAAAAGTACGGTAAAACAAACAGTAGCCAAGCTAACTCCTACAAAAATTGAACCAGATCCAAGCAAAAACCCAGTATAAATGCAGAAACCGAGCAAAAAATAAACCCTCGTCCACAAAAAATGCAGATCTAAACACTTGCAAATAACTTCACAACAATGGCGAAATGAAAGAGGTAGAGAAAGACTAGCAAACCTGAAACCTACGGCACAAGCCTTGTAAATGAAGACGAAGAGAGAGTGAGAGAGGCCCTTAAAGACTTTGTATAGTGAGAAACCCACCGGTTCGACACCTCCATTTTCGTCCGAGAGTCCTACTTATAGTACAGCGGCTCACACTTGGACGCGATCTCAGCCGCTTGCTCGGATCCAGATCGGACGGCGATCCAGACACCCACCGCAAGATTTCAGCCGTCGGATGGGGCGTCGCGAATAGTTGGGAGTCGGTGAGCGAAGGCGACCTTTTTCCAAATGCGCCGCGTCAACCGGGGGCCCGTCCTAACAACCGGCGGTACCCGGTAAACGCCTCTCACCAACCCCCGGTTTCTACCGGCTAAGTCACCGGCTCGGCTCGGCTCGGCTCGGCTTGTTGAACCTGTTGTTTACTTTCATAATTAAAAGATTTGCAATCACCAAAAAGGCTAAATTAGGGCAGGCAATGGGCACGGGTAGACCCGCGTCCAGCTCGGTTGTGCCCAGGTTCAAGCATGCCTGTCGGGCCTAATGAAAACCCAAAATAAAAAGATCGTCACCATCATCCAAGCTAAGGAGGTTAATAATTAAGAAAAGTGTCGCACATATAATTACAGCTCGTAGACAATTTAGAGATGTGCAACTCGAGTTTTATATCTTCGTTGCACACTAATGAAGTTGAAGGAGAAATTCTATAGGACAAATGCGAAATCAGCTTTACTTTATGACGTGGGATGTAGGCACATACCTATCAAATGAGCGTAGCTTAGATGATGATGTTGATATAGATTAGTGAAAAGACAATAAGGGCTAGAATTCAAAACTAATACATTTGAGAGAATTTAGGCGTGGCTCCAATAAGTGATAAGATGAAAGAAAGTAGATTTGAATGGGCTGGCCATGTACAGTACAAACCCAGCATATAACTTGTTATGAAGTGCTAATTTAGTTCAAGTAAAAGGCTGAAAAAAGAAAAAAAATAAAGCCTAAAAGGGCATGGTTGGAAGTCGTGAGAAAATATATTAAGACTTATAGCTTTACTGTGGATATAACCCTTGATAGAGCAAAATAACAAATTATGATTTATATAATTGATCTCAAATAGTTGGAAAAAAACTCTGATGATGATGATGATCTAAGCCTAATATCAATTATTTGGGGGGCAACTAGGTAAAAAATGGTAAAAATGAAGACCAACTAGGATGGCCCATGATTCTTGGCCCGATCTTGGTTGAGTGGCGATCGTTAAGCAAACATTTGTGGTTGAGGGATGGGTTTTTGGGATTACCTTGCATATTGTGAACGCAATGAAGCATGGGTCGCAATGGACCTAGACCTAACCTAGAACTCGAGAGGTAGACCCAATCGGGGTCCAGGCATAGGTCCAAAATTAGACCACACAAGTCGAGTCCAGGTCCAAATCTTGGACCCAAACACTATTCTGGTTTGGGTCAAGTAATATTTTTTGGGTCCCAATTTTTGGGTCGGGTCCAATCCGGTCCAGGACTGGGTCCATATCTGAGTCCCACATTATATTTTCGAGTTCGTGTCCAAGTTCGGTGATTTCAGATCAGGTCGGCTCTGGGTCCCATATCATTTTTTTGGGTCAAAGCTTCTAAATTTCGATTTTGAAATATTCTGGAGTGATGGAAGGATAGGGAATAAATGCGAAGAGCACAAACCATGGAATAAATGTCGGGTCAAATGGTAGACATGGGCATGGGCCGCACGGTTTTAATGTATCTGACCTCTTTTTTAATGTAGATGCATCCTCCTTAGTCTCTCATAAGGAAAGTGTGGAAGACGAAAACATGTCATTTAATAGCATTTATTAGTATAATTTCGTAAATGGGATTGTACATTGAGACTATTCATCTTTGTTATAAAGATGTCACAATTACTTCTCGTCATTAGATGTCAAATTGGAAAGCTAAGAGAATGTCACGAAATTCAAATTTTTATTTTTTTTAACTTCGGATCTAGTCAATGACGCTCTTACAACTATCCGATTTCAAATGTGACTTCCTTATACTAAAAAAAAATGCATTTTTTTTATACATTTCCTTTGTAAACGACTTTAAAAACTAACATAATTATTATAGATTTATTACAATTATAATTGTAGATAAACAAGAAGGCTGGTGCTTATCTAGCAATATGCGATCAAAGAGGTGGGATTCTCATGCTTATTCCTAAATTTAGAGCCCATATCTTTCTATAATCACTTATTTGAAGACGCCATTAAATGGTTTTTTGTGCATTTACTACAATTATAATTGTAGATAAACAACAAAGCTGGTGCTTTATCTAGCAATATGCGATGAAAGAGGTAGGATTCTCATGCTTATTCCTAAATTTAGAGCCCATATCTTTCTATAATCACTTATTAAGAAGCCATTTCAATAGATGATAACCATTACTGTGTTTTTCAAGGAAAGTATAGCATAAATGTGACTTATGTGCTGCACATGTTGTACTCCTAAATAAACGAGGTAAAGTCCCTTCCCCTTAAATTTAGAATCCAAGTTCATCCCACTCCTCTCAAATATTTTAAGCAGGGGATTGTATATTAAAAATACCATATACTTAAGTTTAAAGGGTTTATAATTGACCCTTGCTTTTAGGTGCAAAATTTAGCAGCAATGGGCGTGTAACTTATTTTGGTTCCAAGAAAATCATTTTACATCGAGCGGGTCAATGGCCCACACCAGCCACAAAGTGGTATAATAAGAGTGAGATATGGTATGTAACTTATATGACAGTCCCAAAGTGGTTTAGTAAGAGTGAGATCTTAAACTTTACCACATCTAGGTAAAAGAGGTGGGTTTTGTTTGATATGCATAAAGCTTTACCACATCTTATTATAAATTTTGGAATTATATTTTAGAATGGAGGAACAAGATTCATATAACCAACCCCAAATAATTGAGATAAGATTTGGATGACGATGATTATGACGTAGAAGTAATTGTGATATTATTTTTTTACTATAAGTAGACAATATTAGTGTATATTTTATTGTTAAAAATTGAAAACTACATTAATACGAGTATTTTTTTTTTATTCAAGGATGTCATACTTAATCTTAACTGTTGAATGCGAAATTAAGTTATTGAGGGTATCTCATTTACGGAGTTCAAAGTCCAAAAGAAATTTTTCGAACTTTATGACACATCTCAAGCTGTCAGATTTAACATCGCACAAGTCTCATTGAAAGATAAATATCTGCAGGGATACAACAATGCATTGGACCAGAATACACCAGTTCTTTAGGGATTCTTCAAGCTATAACATATGAGACCAAATTACTTTTCAAAGAGGATCTTCTCCCATCTAGAGGTGATATTCGTTTATTAAGTATTAGGCATTTTGTAGTGGCCATATCCATTTTACTAAGTTATTTGGTAATGCATTTCGGTTATCGCTAGTCTTATAATGTACAATCCCTACAAGTATTGGCATCCATTTTCAAGATGGACAATGGGGGAGAACCATGACAATAACGAACATTGTCTTTAGCTACAATTCATCTCCGCCATCGTCTATCTTCGCAATGGATGTAGATGCCATAAATGTGCATTATGTAAAGCATGACAGTCACGATCACTATCTCTTAGCTACAATGCATCTCCATCACCGTCTATCTTGGCAATGGATGTAGATGCCTCAAAGGTTCATTGCGTGAAGCATACACATCATGTGTATTTTACACTTCTCTGTCCACCTTTGCTTCAGGTTGGACACGCGTCGGTCATTGACCATTGTGATGGTTTAGCCGTTGTTTGGGTTTGAGCCGATTGCTAAAGTTTCGTAAGCCCCCAAAAGGTTGGGAAACCGGCACGATCCGGTTTCAACGGTAGGTGAGGAGCTGAAGCAAACAGGGAGGGAGTTGGTGGCTTATGTCCATCGCTTTCTATATGGATAACTTGCCTAGGGAGGTACAAAGGAAAAGATTGTGTGCTCCCGCAGGAGTGTAATGTACTCTATTAACCAATTTAGTTATTTTTGTTTGGTGTATTTTTTGGTTTGGTGCGAAAAATGAAGCAATTCAGTTCAGGCGAAGGCTTTGGATTTTTTTTAAATTTTTTTTTTAATATAAATAAATTAGATATTTATATATATAATATATAAAAATAATAAAAAAATTAAAAATATGTTTTTTAAAAAATAAAAATATATTTTTATATAAATATTTATTTACTTCAGTCGAATCGGCCTGAAACATACCCGAATTTGACCAAAGCACTTCGAAGGGGACTTAATCTTGTAAAGAGTTTCAGGTTTCTTTGAAGAGACTCCGTGTGTCCGTTAATCACATGAATATACAGATTTGTCATTTATAGACAAATTACAAGTGACAATAATAGAAACTAAATCATAGATACCTAAACCATACCCAAAATTATAATAAAGTACAGATACTCTATCAACACTTCCCATAAATACTGATTGTAATATATACTTTCTATATTAGCCCGATACATAATATACACTTTTCTTTCACAAATCTAACCGAAACAACAATATGAGGCTTCACTTCGCTTCTGTTTAAGCTTAAAATCCAAAGCTAAAAAGAATTGATAACATGTTATTCCCTCGTGTAAACTTGGACTTACTAGTTTTGTTTTTTGTTTTTAGAATAATAACTTGGGAGGCATCACTACTGGTTTTTTAACCTAAAAATGTGACCTCCTCAACCGAACGACCAATAAAAAATTTATTTTTTGCTTATGATTGTCCATGTATTTTGATATTCATCTTAAATTAAATTCAAATTTAAAGCGATTCATTTTGTCTTTTTGAATTCTATTTGAATTTTAAAGTAATTTATATTTATAAATATAATATTTTTTTATTTCTAAAAAATTTATTACGATTATAACTTTTACACCTAAAGGGTATTTTGTGGTTAAACTTTATGGAATAGAAAATACTAAACTCACCATTAGAGTACTATATTATAAAATAGCTCTACATGCACACACACTTAATATCTAACCTAAAAAAGATGGAAAAGTATAAAATGAGACCATTTACCTTTGATACAAGATAGTCACATTAATCTTGACCATTGGATGTGAAATTTGGTGGCTGCAACGATTCCATTGACCAAGCTCAAACTTCAA